TCAGTCTAAAACACTGTTTCTCAGCCTGGGGGTCGGGATCTCTACGGGGGTCGCGAGGGGGATTTCAGAGGGGTTGCCAAAGACCATAAGAAACACACATATTTTTGATGGTCTTAGGAATCCCTTTGGCAGAGAAGGCTCAAGATCTCTCTGCCTGTCCTCCTCTTCCTTTTTGGAAACAGGCGGCAAATCCTCCCACCAAAAGCCCTTCTCATGCTGTGATTGTCCAGCCTCTTAGTTGGCCTTTCAGCCAAGCGGGAAGGGGAGAACAGGCGTTCTCCCCTTCAGTCATTTCCTCCAGTATTTTCTGTTGGTCATGGGGGTTCTGTGTGGGAAGTTTGGCTCGATTCTATTGTCGGTGGGGTTCAGAATGTTCTTTGATTGTAGGTGAACTATAAATCCCAGCAACTACAGATCTAAATATCAAGGTCTATTTCCCCCAAAATCCACTAGTGTTCACATTTGGGCATATTGAGTATTTGTGCCAAGTTTTGTCCAGATCCATCATTGTTTGATGGATCTGGACAATGCTCAATGTAGGTGAACTACAACTCAAGGTCAATGCCCACCAAACCTTTCCAGTATTTTCTGTTGGTCGTGGGAGTTCTGTGTGCCAAGTTTGGTTTAATTCCATCGTTGGTGAAGTTCAGAATGCTCTTGAATTGTAGGTTAACTATAAATCCTAACAACTACAACTCCCAAATGACAAAATCATTCCCCCCAACCCTTCCACTATTCAAATTTGGGTGTATTGGGTGTTTGTGCCAAATTTGGTCCAGTGAATGAAAAGACATCCTGCATATCATATATTTACACGACATTCATAACAGTAGCAAAATTACAATTATGAAGTAGCAACAAAAACGATTTTATGTTTAGGGGATCACCACAACATGAGGAACTGTATTAAGGGGTCTCAGCATTAGGAAGGTTAAGAAACACTGATCTAAAATGATCCCAGCACTTTTACTAGTATTCAGAACCTCCAAATATTGCAATACTCTGCTGTGATTTTTAGAGGAATAATCCTCATGGGAACTAGACTTTACTCTTTCCACATAGGCAAATCCTGGATTTCTATTGCAGGGTTCCAGGTTGCTTTGCTTTCTCTGATGCAACAGGATTGTTTGTGCATGCCCATGTAACTTTCCTGAAGCATTTGTCATGACGTTGGCCGCCCTCATGAAAATCCTGCTAATGCAAGGACACTGGTGTGAGGTATTGCTCACCTGTTACCTCTGAAGCTAAAACCGAAGAGGAGTTGACACTTCCATTGTTGTGCAAGTGTGAATGAAATTTGCTTTGTCAGGGAGGTTGTACTAACACAGGGTTATATAATCAATATCAATTGTACAATGCCTGTGGCTGCGACTGGCAACTCATGGCCTATAGCAATGGTCTATTGGCAACTCATGGCCTATATAACATTGCCTATAGTAATGGATTCCCAGATGTTTTGGCCTACAACTACCAGAAATCCTAACAGCTGGTAAACTGGCTGGGATTTCTGGGAGTTGTAGGCCAAAACACCTAGGGACCCACAGGGTGAGAACCACTGGCCTATAGGATGCTTGCAACCCTTGTAAGGCAATGATTCCCAAATTCTAGTCTTTCCGAGTGATTTGGACCTCGGCTCCCAGAAGCTTCAGCAACCTTGGCCAATGATCAGGGATTCTGGGAAGTGAAGTCCAAAACATTTGGGGACCAGAGTTTGGGAAACACTGCTTTAAAAGCTATATTTGCAGCCCCTTCCACAAATGTCAGTGCCAAAACTCAGGCACTCATCTTTAAAACAAAAACTCCCATTAATATTGGATAACAGTGGAAGTGGTCTGCAAGTGGGTTGTGGGATGCTGTCCATATAACATTTGGGAAGCATCCATATCCCTGCACTTGGAAAATGTGTCTTGGAAAAGATAGAAAAAAAATCCAAACGTATTTTGGCATGTACATCCAATGGCAGCGAGCAAAACCACAGCTACATTAATCTGGGAACAGCTTTGCTCAGATAGCATGTACATGCTGTTACTGGAGCTTTTAGCTCATCCCCACTCTGGTTCGTGTTTCTTTTTTCAATGGCTGGTGACTAAAGTGTGGAAGGCAAGTTTGGTTTCTTGCTGGAGCAAGCAAAGCTACTCATCCTGTTTTTTAAGAGTGAGAAAGCTGATGAATGGATATGCTGACACATATGAAACAATATAGAAAAGTGCAGTGGGGGAAAAAGATACATGTTAGCCCAACCCCCTGCAGGGGAATTTTTCTGATGAATATTAAACATGAAGGGAAGCACATGACAGTCCTGAGCTGGCAAAAAAAAAAAAAAGACAAGAAAAAGAGCTTTCCAGCACCACTAGTGGATTAGCTTGTAAAACCATCTTTAAGTCACCTGCCTACCTAAATGAGGGTACGTGACAGTGTGTTGCAATTGTGGCATCCAGTATTTGTTATTTTTTTATCATGTCAGAAGTGAATTGAGGATATACTTCAAGTCGCTTCTGGTGTGAGAGAATTGGCTGTCTGCAAGAACATTGCCCAGGGAACGCCCACAGGATGTGTTACCATCCTGTGGGAGGCTTCTTTCAAGTCCGCACACGGGAAGCTGGAGCTGACAGACAGGAGCTCACCCCATCTCGCAAATTTGACTGACCTTCAGGTCAGCAATTCAGGCGGCACAAGCGTTTAACCCATTAAACCACAGTGGTTTCGCAGTATTTGCGATAATACTTTATTATTCTCATCAGTAGTAAAAAGATCCATTATTTGACAAGTATGTTAGAAATATTATATACCTATTTCTAGTTCATGCTATTAAGGGGGTTGCTGTTAGGGTTGCATTGGTTCATATGGCTAACATCCTGGTCCTAAACCAGTGACTGTCATCAGTAGTGGACTGGATATGGGCAAAGAAATGGAAATGTAGTCCAGTCAAGACAGAGGTCTTCCTGGTTAGTTGGTTGAAAGGCAGACCAGGGAATAGGACACAACCTGTGCTGGATAGAGTTACATAGGCCCACAGGTTTGGGGAGCTCTTGGACTCGACATTGAACCTTGTGGCCTAGGTTTCTGTGGTGGCCAGGACCTATAAAGCCCTATATGGCCTGGGTCCAGGCTACTTTTCAGATCATCTCCCTGCCCAGGTCTGAGATCCTCAGGGAGCCCCCTTCTCTTGCTCCTACCACCATTGTAAGTGAGAGCAGGCCTTCTCTCTCAATTGTTGTCTCTTGACTCTGGAACTTCATTTTTCTCAGGGAAGCCAGAATGGCTCCTCCCTCCCTGATGTCTTTTGGCAGCAGGTTAAAACCTTTAATTTCAGATAGGCTTTTAAAGAGGATGGTTTTGAAGACCAACTCAGAGGACATGGTGCTTTATGTATTTTGGATAGGGTTTTAATGGTTTTAGCTGTGCTTTTTATAGTATTTGGTTTAATTCTATTTTATTGTTTCTGGTCTTTAGATTTTATATTGTACATTATACAATTATATATATTGTTTGGTACTGTTCACTGTTTTAAGTCCCTGTTAAGAAAAAAAGTGATATACAAGTAAATATAACAACAATATCCTGATCATGAGAAACAATGGTACAAGTCTGATCTGCTTTGGTAAGGCCTTTGGTCAGTGGTTTCCAACCTTTTTTTGACGAGGGACCACTCTCCAACATTAGTACCAAACGTGGTAACGAATCCATTTTTGGTCAACTTTAGATTTGGTTTGGTTATTTGGGGTGCTGATTCAGAAAATGGCATTGGATAGACCCCATCAGCTCTAGCTTCTGATGCAGAACATATGCCGTCCAGTAGTCGCGATCACAATGTTCAAATATTTGAATGTCTGTCATATAAATAAGGGAACACATTTTTCTCTGTTACTTCAGAGAGAAATACTTGAATCAGTGGTGCCAAATCACAGGAAAAAAAACCAATTTAAGTGAATCTTTTTGTTTGTTAACTTTATTGAGTTATGTGAAAGGGGCCTAAAGCTTCCTTGATTAAGTCTATCCATCTGAAATATGCAGCCTTCCTCTTTTCCTGCTGCCTCTAACTTACCAAGTATTACTATCTTTCCTAGTGAGTCATATCTTCACATGATATAGCCAAAATCCATCAGTGTCATCTTGACTTCTAGGAAGTTTTGCTAGTGATCTAATATTATCAGGGAATTCCATGGCTACAGAATCCTGAAAATGTGTGGAGAATGTTAGTGGCCGATTTGTGATATTAGGAGACCTTTTCTTTGGATCCTTTTCATAAGTACTTTTTCCTCCAACTACATGTGTCTACTTGCCACTAACTACATCTCACCAACACTGAATAATTTTGGTAGACAAATTCAAACTCGACAAAGCTTCAGGTCCTATTTAGGGAGTAATGACTATAGTGGCATGGGAATTACTTTCCATGGAGTCATCCCATGACTTTGTTGTAACATTTAAGAGTTCTCTATGGCATAACCTATGCCCCGTGTCATGGGAAAAACCCTTGGATTGAAATTGGTGCTTATTTTGAAATGTGGGACAGGAACCTGAGCATACAAAACCATTGCCTTTCCCTTGTATGATTCCAAATCTTCTTTGTGTCTGAGACTTTTACTTTAGCTCCTTTGAAATTTGCTTCTACATGTTACTATTTTTAACTGTGAATTATGTGGATCTGTTTATATCATAACTGACTTGCTTGGGTACACGTACATAATTTTCCTATCCTGTTTGGCAGAAGAAGGAACTTGCCAGTAAAAAAAAAAATCACCTACTGTCATAGAGGCTGGGAGGGGGGTGGCTTTGTTTTATCCATGGATATATATGTGCTGTCAGTTTGCAGAGAGCACAGTTGTGTTGTGCCCCCTTGTCTCACCCATAGCCCTTACCACATGAAACCCTTTTTTTCCCTTAAATGATCCACTCAGCCATAATAGTGGACATTTTTCAAATATATAGTGAATGTGATGTTTTCTATACATTCAATAAAATGTATGCTAATTTTTTGTTCTTTCTTTATTCTAAAGCAACTAGCTGATACCAGTCTCCCTCCTGAAGATCAGGACTCATCTGGTGATGACGATGATGCTTTTTCTGGCTCTGGCGCAGGTATGCCTGAATGATGTTTATTCAGTTGCAGACAAAATTGTCTTCACTCCTAGAACTCCCCCTGCATTCTCTATATTATAGTATAGTTAACAAGGTAACAGAAGTCTTATACTGATTCTAGTGCTTATTATTATTATTATACATAACAAGATTTGTTCATCAAACAGGATGATTATTTGATCACATGTTGCACACATCCCAAGTGTCTAGGACTGTGTGATGTATCAGTGAATAATGTGTGAAGATCTGAATAGGGTAGCCTTTTGCAGATGACAGATGGTAATTTTGTCAGTGCCGATTGTTTTTAAGTCCAGGCCAAGGTCTTTAGGCACTGCACCCAGTGTGCTGATCACCACTGGGACCACCTTTACTGGCTTGTGCCAGAGTCTTTGCAGTTCTATCTTTAAATCCTCATATCATGTAAGCTTTTCCAGTTGCTTCTCATCAATTCTGCTGTCACTTGGGATTGCAACATCGAGGATCCATACTTGTTTTTTTTCCCCCATGATCATGAGGTTCAGAGTATTGCGCTCAAAAACTCTGTCAGTCTGAATTCGGAGGTCCCAGAGTAGTTTGACGTGTTCATTTTCTGTAACTTTTTCAGGCTTGTTCTTTGTCACAGACAGATGGTATTTGTGACACATGTTCCAATGGATGATATTATTATTAATTATTTGCATATCCCATCTTCCTCCCAATAATAGGACTTAGGATGGCTAACAGCATATTTCAAAATTATACAAATTAAGAGCTATACAAAGTCATTAGTAAAAATATAAATATTAGAGTTATTTAAAATGTTTATACAATTTATAAAGTGAAAACATTAGAATTGAATTTAAATCTATCGTAGTGTTCATGTGCTTCTTCTCTCCCCGTGCCCTTCTGTCATAATTGTCAATGGAGAGAGGTAGTGACTGGATTTTCTCTGTTAAGCATTTTTTAATACTGTTTAAGTGCTCTCCTGGTGGATTTTTTAGAAAACTGTTAGTCTCTGTCCAGTGTGCGTATGCGGTGGTCACTATGGCCCTAGGGAAGTGGTTCTCAACCTGTGGGTCCCCAGGTGTTTTGGCCTACAACTCCCAGAAATCCCAGCCAGTTTACCAGCTGTTAGGATTTCTCAGAGTTGAAGGCCAAACATCTGGAGATGAACAGGTTGAGAACCACTGCCCTAGGAGCTTTCATGAGAAAGTTTCCAAAGTACTTCAGGCATTGGCTGAATGGTCTGTTATACAAGATTCTTTTACAAGACTTGGTGAGGGTTTGCTAAAAATGTGTCTTGATTTTTAGTTCCCTCAGAATATCCAGTGGTTGCCTGGAATGTTCCGCTACAAGAAAGCTCAAATGTCTCACTGGTGCCCCCAGTGTCTACTGGTTTGGGAGATCACCAACCTGAGGTTGACAGAACAGACAGTCCTACAGAAGAGTACACAACAGCACCTGTATCCACAATAAGCATGGCTGTATTTCCAGTTATTGATCGGGTGCCTGACAAACCAGAAGAAGCAGTTGAAGATGGTGGCCTGCACTCAACTTCTGAACATGTGACGGAAAAAACCACAGTTACAACAACAAGCATCCCAGTATCCCACCACATTTCCACAGCCAGAATTTCAACCACCCAAACTCCTAGCACAGTAAAAATTTCTGAGCCTGAGGTCTACCATGATGTCCGCCACATACCCTTCCCTGATATAAACATACCTGCTTCCGATACTGAGCCTCCCAGTGAGAGAAGTCTGTATACCACCAGTCTACCTACAACATCATCTACTGTTCAGAAGGATATCTCTTCTCCGCCTGAAGAAATAGTACGATCTGATGATGGTTCGGGTGATGTGGTAAGAAATATTTACACTTCTAACTTGGGCATTGACCTATAGAATTATTTTTTTAAAAAAAAGGTAGATCTTGAATGCAGAACTAGATGGTATTTGTGAACTAGAGTAGAAGTCTGCATCTACCAGACTCCATAGCTGTGTCAAAGCATATGTCCATTGAGGCTAAGAGAGAAATATACATGATATCTTTGCCCTTGCTTCCAGGGAGATTTCGTATTTCCACAACTTGATGAAAACCCAGTACTAGAAGAAGAACCAGCACTAACTAATAGAGGAATTGATATACCAAAGGATGAGAAATCTGAAGCAGCTGCACAAGGAATATTGGACAGAAAAGAAGTTCTAGGAGGTATGTAAAATGAGGCTTTATATTTAACTCTACAAATTGTTGATGCATTTTCTTTGCGTATTTTGAGTTTGAACTGCCAGTTTGTTTTACGGCATAACATAGATTGCCATATTATAATAAGGTTACAGCATAGGCTTGAGAAGCTCTTCTCTTACACCCTGAAAGTTGCTACAGGTAGTTGCAGGCAATAAAATTATGCAGTCTAACAAAAAAAAAAAAATCTTGGTGTCTTGGTTTTTAGGCTTGTTCTTGGGGTTATTTGGGGCACTGATTCAGCAAATTGCATTGGATAGATCACATCAGCTCTAGTTTCTTAGATATGGCTATTGTGGCTTTCTATGTACGAGCAGATGGTGTCTAGTTGATGGCATATGTTCTGTATCTCAAAACCTAGAGCTGACAGGAAAACGGGTGCCTTTTTTTTTTGAATCAGCAGGTCAAGTATACACAGAAAAAGGGCTAACATTGGGAGGCACTAAAATGTGTGTTGGCCAGTGGGAGCAAGTTGATGTTCTGAGTATGGTTTCTAAAGTGAAGGAACATCTCCCAGGTGTTATTTATTTATTTATTTAGCATGTCAGAAGCGAGTTGAGGGTACTGTTAAAATGCATTTAAGAACACAAACAAAGTTTTTTAAAAACTTGGCATTAATCTAAGTGTCATTTGACAAGAAGCTGGTCACTTGGAGTGCTTCTGGTGTCGCTATAAGGAGGTCCTCCATTTTACATATGGCAGGGCTCACGTTGCATTGTAATGGGAGGTCTGTGGTTTGCTCTTCTCTGCATTCGCATGTTGTGGACTCCACTTTGTGGCCCCATTTCTTAAGGTTAGCTCTTCATCTCATGGTTCCAGAGTGCAGCCTATTCAGCTCCTTCCAGTTCATCCACTTTTCTGTGTGCCTAGGACAGTTTCTCATCTAGTCTTAGCCACTGATTGAGGTGCTGGGTTTTAGCCTGCCACTTTTGGACTCTCGCTTGCTGAGGTGTTTCTTAAGGTTCCCCCCAGGTGTTCATCCTCCCAGGAAGTTCTCAGTTGGCTCTGCTTTTCTTTCTTTCCTACATTAAGGAAAGAAAAGAAGGAGCAAAACCAAGTGTTCCCAGCTAAAAGGCTGGGTAGAGAAGCTCCACTTGGCACATCAGCTGGGGAGTTGGTGATACTGTGACAGCTGTGTCAACTGGTGTGGTCCTTGGAGGTCTGTGGGCTGCACAGATTTTGAGTTGTGGCTTCCCTGCCCTTGGTTAGAACCTTAAATGTAAAGGAAACTGATTCTTGACAGCTGAAAGAGAAATTCACCCTGAATGGTTATTTATTTGTGTTTAGTGTTTCTTTTAAGCCAAGGGGTGGGGGATCTGTGCTTCTCTCGTTGGCCTCTACCTTCCATGAAATCAAGCCAGCATGGCCTGTTGTTCACAGACCGATGAGCAGCTAAAGAACCAGATGCTTCCAGCCTCTGATCTAGGTCATAGGCATCACCCACATGAAAACCTTCATTGGCAGCATCCATCTATTATTTTATGAAGTAAGGAAAGTCTTGTAAATTCAACATTTTCACACTAAAAATAACGAAATAATTTTCTTTTTCCATAGGGGTCATTGCTGGTGGACTAGTAGGCTTGCTGTTTGCTGGATTCTTAGTTGGATTCATGCTGTACAGAATGAAGAAAAAAGATGAAGGAAGCTATTCACTGGATGAGCCAAAACAGTCAAATGGAGGGTATCAAAAACCACAAAAACAGGAAGAATTCTACGCGTGAACGAGCTGAACGTAGAAACTTTTCTCCTGTCTCTGGACATCATGAGTTCTTGCTGCATTTTAAAGGGGGGAAAAAAACTAAAAGCCATACGACTGACTAAGCCTCGTGCCTCCTTGCCATTGGGAACCACTACTATTTTTTTCCAAAGTCAGTCTGGATGAATAAAACCCTTACCTGCCTTCTTGCACAAAGATTACCTGTAAAATGGGACATCTGCCTTCAATAAGGACTCCTGGGGGAAGATAAAGAACTGATTGTATATAGTCTTGATGTCTTACAAAAGCACCAAGAAATTAGTAAGGTACAATGTGTATGTATATTAAAGACAATTCCCCCACCAAACATTTACTAGCCGCAGGTGTGTGCTTTAAAAATGCTCTTTTTTAAATAAGGCTGTTAACTTGGTTTTCAACTGTTGTTCTTCTCCTTTTGAATGATAACACTAAAGCCCCTGCATTGCAGCTGAACATGAGAATGACATGAGAAGGAAGGGCCTCCCCAAAACTGAAAACATCTACCCAAAAGGGTTGGGTGACTTAAACGGTGGCCATGGCTAGACTAGGTGAGGTTCCCCTTGAATTCAGCGGGAGGAGACTTATACACACTGCTTCGATACCGGAAGCAACATAGAGATGGCACATGGGGGAAGTGGGTTTTTTTGAGATGTGCATCCTTCTCCAGTACTTCTGGTCTGACTGACTATGGTGTTACCCATGTTGTTCACTGTTTATGTGTGTGTGTGTGCGTTTTAGGTCCACTTAGTAGTCCTGGGGCCACCTCTTGTTACCTACCTCTTCTGCATTGTGTTCCTGATAATGGCTACTTCACTGGATTCTCAAGCCTTCCCTCTCTCTTTTCCTTTCCACGCGGTGCTTAGACTGCTGGGTGTGGCGTGTGATCCCTACAGGATGCAGCATGCTCTGGGGTAATGAGAGCTCCCGTTTCTGCCAGGTCCCAGGGACCAGATTCCTGTTAGGCTGCCGTTTGTTTGTTCGTTCGTTGGTAGGAGGAATTCAGGGAGCCTCGGCTCAGCACGCAGCGCCTGCGGGGGCAGGGATGAGCATCTGTTCTGGCTTTTATCTCAGTCCAATGTGTGTTAGAGCATTAACAGAGTTTGAAGATCAAATGTCTTCTGTGTAGAAGAGGGAGATAATGAGGAATTGTGTGCCTTCCATCTCTTTTGTGAGACCCAAATGCAAGGTGAGGGTCTTGTCGGTTTGTATGTCAGTGAGGCCAAATTAATATGAATGTCAGCACTTCCAAAGCAGTATTTAAGTGTGTTTTAAGAACACTGTGTGAGGAGGGGAGGAAGTGGAAGAGCAATCTTGGAAAAACAGGTAAACTGATGTAGAATAATAAGTGCAGATGTATGATTTCTGTAATGTACAGGATGACATGGATGTTAAATATACTAAAATGTTCTGTAAAGGTTTTGGTTTACCTTTTCGGCTTTACTTTCTTTCACCACTTAACACTTGTTGGCTTTCAAAATGCCTTCTGTTTCTAACAGGCGTGTAGGCAAAAGGATGAATTGACACTAGTGCACTATTAGTAAACAGTACAATCAGAAGCTTGTCTGGGGAGGAGAATACATCTTTCAGGTACAGCATAATTGTGAGTTGCCAATCACACATTTGGTGCCTTCTGTATTTCTCCCTGTTGAAAAAGATCTTGACGATTACATTGATGAGTTTAAACATCTCTTCAGCAAGTTAAACTTTTCTGGCATCTTCTGACCTACATTTCTTACGAAGCAACTACACCCAACTACTTTTTTACAGTGAGGTTTTAAGTGGTGGAGTGTCCTTTTTATGTATTAAGAGATGGTCTTTGACCTCAGATGTAGAAAACACTTCTATTTGGTAAGACTAAAGATACAATTGTTTGTTTTAATGCTCAAGATGAAACTGGAATCCTGTAACTGTAAATGGAACAAACTTACTGCTAGTTTCCAGATGTAAGTACTTCATTTTGTTTTGTATTTCACAAGCATACACATGCAATAAAAAGGCAGGCTGCCAAAATGAATTGTCTTGTGTTGTTATCTGAACCAACTTTTTTTACTGTGATTTTTAAAAAATTCAACCAATTTAGAAATTACTTTCTTGGAATAACCCAGCATTAAGTACTAGATTCCAGATTAGTGTCTTAAAAGTCAGGCTTGTCTTGTTAATTTTTTTACTTGATTTTTATTGATTGTCATTGGAGAGTGAACTATGGAAAGTTCGCTCTCCAATGAGCCCTGCTAACTAGGGCTTTGGTATTAGTTGCACATACAGTTTTATGATGGCAATCAAAACCTAGGCCAATTGGGCAGAACCATGAAGCTATTCCAACCAAAGTGACTGAGGAATTGGAAAAAGTGAGAAATAGTGGTACTGTTTTGGAACTATTTTAGTTTAGAAAAAAACAGTTGTGTGAGACTTGAGAAACTGCAAGTTGCTTCTGGTGTGAGGGAATTGGCCGTCTGCAAGGATGTTGCCCAGAGGATGCAGGATATTTTACTATCCTATGGGAGGGTTCTCTCATGTCCCCCCAATGAGAACCTGGAGCTGACAGGTGGGATGTGGGATGCAGTCAGCAGATGGAAAGGACCACTACAGAGCACACGCTTGTGCACAACTCGGTTTTACTCCCTGGATTCGAACCGCCGATCTTTCGGTCAGCAGTCCTGCCAGCACAAGGGTTTTGCCCATTACCCCACTGGGTGCTCCACATTATGCATGGTGTGGAAAACGGAATACAGAGAAGGGCCCTCCCCCAATAAAAGTCATCCAGTGAAGATAAACCGTAGGAGATTGTTGTCAGACAAAACAATGTCATAATGCATATAGTTAAACTGTGGCATCTGATGTTCCTTAATTTGGATGGCTTTAAAGTGAGGTTAGAAAAAAATGACAGAATATATGGTTACCAGTGGCTGCTGGTCATAGCAGAGACATGCAATCTCCACTGTAGAAAGCAGTACGAGTCTGCTTGGCCTTGTGCAAGAATCACAGACGTACATGATAAATGCCATTGCACTCCCCTTCTGTTAGAGAGCTTCTGAGAAGTGTCTGGTTAACTACTGTGGGGAGAGAATATAAGACTGGATAGGCAATTGAAACGCATGGAGTACAGTCTGATCTCTAGTTTGATGATAGATCTGCTGATTTGATTTGTTGCTTCTGAACAAGAAATGTGCCTAAAGTTCAAGGCCAACTATACCAATACATTTCTTTATAAATGAACAGCATTCAAAGCTATCTTTGTCTGTCTTAAAAAGTCCCATTTACAAATGATCTGTACAGAATCATTGGAGATAGCAATACATAGTAACAGAGTGCCTTGAGAGTAATTTCAAAAGGAGCATACCCCTGGATTCTCAATGTTTGGGAAAATAATTTATTACTCTAGAGTGCCTTCAGTAGATAACACTTGGGCCTCAATCCAGGTGCTAGTTCCATCTAGAATAGACCAATTGAATTGAGTGCAAGTGATAAGTCAACACTTAAGTGGGCAACTTTAATTCAGTTCAAGACTTCTCTATTTGGAACTAGCAATTTGATTTTGGCCCTAGAGAGCTCATCCTCATGGGTTTGGGGGTGGCTTCCAACAACATTAAAGCATCAAAGGCATTGAGCTGCCAAACAAAGCAAATATATTCAGTTCTTGAAAGTTATATCAACAGAACATCTAGTTTAAAAAAACATGCTAGCTAGACTCATATTAAATTTGATGTGTTACACCTTCAGCAGAAAGCCAATGTGATGTGATTTGAGTGTTGGACGATGATAGTGGAGACCAGGATTTGAATCTCCACTCAGACATGGAAACCCATTCGGTGACCTTAGGCAAGGCACACTCTCACAGCCTTAGTGGAAGGCAAAAGGAGATCCCCTTTGAATAAATCTTGCAAAGGAAACCCCATGGTAGCATCAGTTATGGTTTGCTATATGTTGGAAATGGCTTCGAGGCACGTAATGACACCAGCTTCAATAGAAAAAGATATGAGTACCACCTGATATAAAAATGAGTAACTGAAGTTTTTGAAGTGAGCTTATGAAATATGTTGGTTTGAATTTAAAACATGTTTTTGTGTAGAAAACAATTTGTATTATGTAATTGGAAAACTTTGTGCTTTGAGCTATCTAAGCCCTAGTTTCCTGAATGTGGATGGGAAAGGGTTGTGATATGCAGTAAACAAAATTCTTTGTAGAGCAAGCTGTGTTGCATTCTTCAGTGGAAATTGCCAGGTTGTTCCCTTCTAGTCTGGAATGAATAGTGGTAGTTGTTTATGGTCACTGCCAATATTATTTACAGGTGCTTCCGGATGGAGCTTTTATCATGCACTCACAATAGTTGATTGACACCATTTGGAGTCGAGAAGGTTAATGGTGGTTCAGATAGAGTCATCTGCCACTTTAATGCCCCTCTCTGTCCTACTACTGCTTTTATTTCCTACTTTCCACACAAAGGAAATCTGTCATGGAACAAGAGATGAAACAGTTACACATTTCTTGAATAGGATCCTTTTCACACTATACAGTTATAGCACTATAATTCCTGGGGTTTCAAGCTGAGGGAGGGGCAATCATAATGCTACATCTGTACAGTGAAAAAGCCCTATGAGCCATCACTTTGGAAATACACAATAATTCTGGACACAAGTGCTGTTTGCTTCCATATAAGTATTTCCTTAAGACTTTCTAATTGATTGCAACATTATTAAATGAACCTTCTAAATGCACGTTTCTCTTTCTGTGATAAAGCCAGCATGGTTTAAGACTGCTGGAATGACAGCTATGAACTGAATCTTAAAAACATTTTAAGTAGAACTAGTCAACACAGACTGATCTCAAGTGGTGGCATCAAAACAGAGGAATGTATCTCCAAAGCACATTTGTCTGGCATAGAAGCTGTAACAGAAATTCCACACTAATGCTATACCATAAAGCTGCAATGTATTGTCGAATGCTTTCATGGCCGGAATCACTGGGTTGTTGTAGGTTTATCGGGCTGTATGGCCATGTTCTAGAAGCATTCTCTCCTGACGTTTTACCTGCATCTATGGCATGCATCCTCAGAGATTATGAGGACTTCCCAACCTCTGAGGATGCCTGCCATAGATGCAGGCGAAACGTCGGGAGAGAATGCTTCTAGGACATGACCATACAGCCTGAAAAACCTACAACAAACCCATAAAGCTGCACTTACAAATCTCTTAATACAGAAACACTGACCTTAGAAGGATTGTGTGTCTGAAACAACTTTTTAGAAATTAAAATCAGCCCCCCTCCAGATATCTTAGGGTTGCAGGCAAGGGGGGAGCTTTAGTCCAATAACATTTAGAAAATTGCATGATTCCCACTGCTGGATATGCCACCCATGTGCCTTTTGCTATGTGCCAACTTCAGCTTTGTTTATCTTTGAACCAAGGGCTGAAATGTGTACCTCTTGGATGGTCTAAAATAATTTCTCAAACTGTTCAAGATGTTTTGAACTTCAACTCCCACAATTGCAAAAAGCTGGTAAACTGGCTGGGATTTCTGGAAGCTGAAGTAAAAAACACCTGGAGGAGCACAGTTTGAGAAACACTGGTCTAAAAGGTATGTGAGAAGCATGATGATAGTCCAAGGCAGTGGTTCTCAGCCTATGGGTCCCCAGGTATTTTGGCCTACAACTCCCAGAAATCCCAGCCAGTTTTCCAGCCGTTAAGATTTCTGGGAGTTGAAGACCAAAACATCTGGGGACCCACAGGTTGAGAACTATTGGTCTAAAGCATGTTATTCTGACACCCCCACCATTTATTCTGTGTATGCACACTTGTGCAATTATTTGAATTTACAACTTCAACTGTCATGAATGGGTTGTGCTGGTCTATCCTCAGGCAAAAAAAAAGTCAGGTGATTTCATTATCTTTTTACTGTGTCTTTTGTACGGAGGAGGCAGTTTATTTTTCCTTCTGTTTCAGTATTTGTATATATCTTGTTATCAATTGCCTTTACGTTGGCCTAATGTTGAAGCCATGAAAGAGACTCTGGAGGTGCCTTTGCCTCAGAGTGTGGTGGAAGCTCCTTCCTTGGAGGCTTTTAAACAGAGGCTGGATGGCCATCTGTGAGGGGTACATTGAATGTGCATTTTCCTGCATGGCAGGGGGCTGGAGTGGATGGCCAATGGAGTCTCTTCCAACTCTTATGATTCCAAGCCACCGAGTTATTAACAGCCCTGCTCAGGTCTTCTAAGATCAAGTTGCTTCTTTGATTGAGTCTACCTGCCTTCTACTTTTCTCATCTTTTTATTGAACCATGTTGTTTCACAATATGCCCAAAGCATGATAGCCTCAGTTTGGTCATTTTGGCTTCCAGTGTGTGAGTTCAAGCTTGGTTTGATTTCAGACCCATTTGACAATCCATGGCATCTGCAAAACTCCCCTGGAGAGAGTCCTACATGAGCTGATCTTCCTATCAGTTATCTCTATCATAGTTAGAAAGTGGATATACTGTAGCATAAACCATTATGAATTTGGTATTTATATTTATGCATGCGCTATATATGAAAAATCCTGGGATGAAGTGATCAGTCCGTGGAGGTGAGGGTCAAGGGTACCTCCAGACTCAGAATGAAGCTGATTTCATATATCTATGTGTGCCTGTTCCTGGGTGGTCTCCTTTCAAAGCTGGTGAGCTTGAATGTGCTGTTATGATTTGAAAAACTGTCAGCTTCAGGAGCAAACTGGCTTTATTACCACCATTAATATTTGATAGCCCTTGCCTTCTCCTTCCTCGGCTGCCATGTTTTTGTCATAAAGGAACCGTAGCCAGACATAACTGGTTCATAGTTAAATGTGCACAGCTAAAGCCAGTAAAAATAATTGAGAAGCATAAATTTTACATATTCAGAAGTTGCCAGTTCTACCTATAATCTCCCCCCACCTCCTCAACCAACGAGCAAAGTTGCACAGTTTCTTAAGGAGTGGTTGTGCGGTTATTCCAGCATAAGCATTAGTCACACATTAACCGCAGCTGTAAAAACATATCTATGGGAAA